TAATTGCTTAATTCTAAATTTAGCCTAGATGGTGACAGCAGCTACGAAATTAAAAGACACCTGCTTCTTGGGAGAAAAGCAATGACAAACCTAGACAGCATCTTAAAAAGCAGAGACATCACCTTGCCAACAAAGGTCCGCATAGTTAAAGCTATGGTTTTCCCAGTAGTGATGTATGGAAGTGAGAGCTGGACCATAAAGAAGGCTGATCGCCGAAGAATTGATGCTTTTGAATTATGGTGCTGGAGGAGACTCTTGAGAGTCCCATGGACTGCAAGAAGAACAAACCTCTCCATTCTGAAGGAAATCAGCCCTGAGTGCTCACTGGAAGGACAGATCGTAAAGCTGAGGCTCCAATACTTTGGCCACCTCATGAGAAGAGAAGACTCCTTGGAAAAGACCCTGATGTTGGGAAAGATGGAGGGCACAAGGAGAAGGGGACAACAGAGGACGAGATGGTTGGATAGTGTTGTTGAAGCTACCAGCATGAGTTTGACCGAACTGCGGGAGGCAGTGGAAGACAGGAGTGCCTGGCGTGCTCTGGTCCATGGGGTCACGAAGAGTCGGACACGACTAAATGACTAAACAACAACAAATTTAGCCTTCCCAGTCTCCCTCTGCCTCTTCCTATATACAGCATATCCATGCGTGTTAAGACACTCTCTCAAACGCAACTCTTTTCTCCTTATACTAATAACCCGAGGCAACAAGCAGGCATCAGAAGTTCCCACCCCTTTCCTTCCTCTATTTGCTGGACACCTGTCTTTAAGTTTCAGGCCAGAGACTTTAAGGAATCAGTCATGGCTCCAGGCTATGCTTGCAGGCCTGTTCAAGCAACTCTCCTTAGTAAACTCTGGTGAATCTGGAGACTTGTCTTCAGGCAAAAAGCAGGAGACATTTCAAATGAAAGCTGAAATAATTCAACAAGACCTAACAGCAACAAAAAGTAGGGGTCATTTGCACTACTCTAAAATTTTTACAGTGAGAGCATCTGTCTGATAGAGTGGTACCTCGGATTAAGAACTTAATTCGTTCCGGAGGTCCGTTCTTAACCTGAAACTGTTCTTAACCTGAGGTACCACTTTAGCTAATGGGGCCTCCCGCTGCGATTTCTGTTCTCATCCTGAGGTAAAGTTCTTAACCCAAGGTACTATTTCTGGGTTAGCGGAGTCTGTAACCTGAAGCGTCTGTAACCTGAAGCGTCTGTAACCCAAGGTACCACTCGCTTCAGGTTACAGATGCTTCAGGTTACAGACTCCGCTAACCCAGAAACAGTACCTCGGGTTAAGAACTTTGCTTCAGGATGAGAACAGAAATCGTGTGGTGGCAGCACGGCAGCAGCGGGAGGCCCCATTACCTAAAGTGGTACCTCAGGTTAAGAACAGTTTCAGGTTAAGAAAGGACCTCCAGAGCGAATTAAGTTCTTAACCCGAGGTACGACTGTATATCTCTGATTGTGTGTTGTTTTTTAAAAAGACCTACATGCGACAAAAAAAATATTTACAAGATGAATTGTCACCGTCAGGAAAAAAACAACTTTTTTGGTATCTAACTGTTGGAGATGCAATAGGATTCTCTAAAACATGCTTTTCCGTTGTCCTATATTGAAAGATTTTTGGCAGCAAGTAACTGAAACTATCAACAGAACTCTATGGAACAACCTTACATTTACAGAGCAAAATATCCTCTTGAATTATATACCCAGCACATGGAACTGTACAAAAGAGCACACGGAACTGGCAAAAGAGCCAGTATGGTGTAGTGGTTAAGAGCAGTAGATTCGTAATCTGGGGAACCGGGTTCGCGTCTCCGCTCTTCCACATGCAGCTGCTGGGTGACCTTGGGCCAGTCACGCTTCTCTGAAGTCTCTCAGCCCCACTCACCTCACAGAGTGTTTGTTGTGGGGGAGGAAAGGAAAGGAGAATGTTAGCCGCTTTGAGACTCCTTCGGGTAGTGATAAAGCGGGATATCAAATCCAAAAGGGCAATATGAGTGAACTCTCTGTGCCCTTACCACAGCAAAAAGACTGATACTGATGAATTGGAAAAATAAAAATGCCACTCCTTTCTACGATCGGATTGAAACTGTCATGGGCTGGTGTGGTTGCTTAAGAGCAAACAGGCAAGAGTCCAACTTGTCTTTTCCAGGCTTTATTATCTGTACACAGTATTTACAGTGCAGAGCGTCGCAAGTCTATGTCTGCTCAGTCGCTAGCAGAATCTGGGAGTGGGCGGTCCTTATACCTTCCCCAGCATAACAGTCGTGTTTCCGCCATCCTTCTCCTCCCCTCTCTGTGCGCAAACCTACTGCGCAGAGAGGGCGTTGGCAAAGAGGGACTTGTCTCTCCTCCGCTTTGCTCAGGCTCGGTGTTGAGGCTCTCCCTAGCACGGGGGTCGGCAACCTGCGGCTCCAGAGCCGCATGCGGCTCTTTAAAGCCTTTGCTGCGGCTCCGGGGCGGTGGCGAGGGGAGGAGGCGAGGGGCGGAGGCGAGGGGCGGAGGTGACCAGCCTGCCGCCCGGCGGGCGGGGCGCCGTAAAGCAGAGCGCCCCCCTCGCCAGGCAGACATCCGCAGCGTGGGGAGCCTTGCCGGACTTCCCGGCAAGGCTCCCGACGCTGCGGATAGCAGCCTGCCGCCCGGTGGGCGGGGCGCCCTAAAGCAGAGCGCCCCCCTCGCCAGGCAGACATCCGCAGCGTGGGGAGCCTTGCCGGAGGTCCCGGCAAGGCTCCCCACGCTGCGGATAGCAGCCTGCCGCCCGGCGGGCGGGGCGCCGTAAAGAAGAGCGCCCCCCTCGCCAGGCAGACATCCGCAGCGTGGGGAGCCTTGCCGGAGGTCCCGGCAAGGCTCCCCACGCTGCGGATAGCAGCCTGCCGCCCGGCGGGCGGGGCGCCGTAAAGAAGAGCGCCCCCCTCGCCAGGCAGACATCCGCAGCGTGGGGAGCCTTGCCGGAGGTCCCGGCAAGGCTCCCCACGCTGCGGATAGCAGCCTGCCGCCCGGCGGGCGGGGCGCCGTAAAGAAGAGCGCCCCCCTCGCCAGGCAGACATCCGCAGCGTGGGGAGCCTTGCCGGAGGTCCCGGCAAGGCTTCCCACCCTGCGGATAGCAGCCTGCTGCCCGGCGGGCGGGGCGCCCTAAAGCAGAGCGCCCCCCTTGCCAGGCAGACATCCGCAGCGTGGGGAGCCTTGCCGGACTTCCCGGCAAGGCTCCCCACGCTGCGGATAGCAGCCTGCCGCCCCGCAGGCATCGGCCAGCCCCACAAGCTCGGGGGACAGCAGGGAGGCGAAGCGCCGCCATCCCGCTGTTCCTCGACCTGGTTCAGTTTCCCCGACCTGCTTTTGGGGGGGAAATAAAGGGAAATTTTTCCCCTTTATTTCCCCCCCAAAAAACTAGGTGCGTCCTATGGGACGGAGCGTCCTATGGGGCGAAAAATACGGTATTTTTATAATGACGAATGCCTCATTATTAATTATTATTTACATCAGGCACTGATTATGATTTATGGTACACTGGGGCCCTGATTAATTTTCTATGGCATTTTGGGGCATTGATTATTGGGCATAGCAAGTCGCGGTCGCGTGGAATTTGTGCTTTGTGACCGTTTGAAGTGGGGTTTTTTTCTTGGGAGGCTGGGCGGCACGAAGAGAGGGATTATTTTTATAATGATGAGGATGACATTGGGCCCTCATTATTAATTATTATTTACATCAGGCACTGATTATGATTTATGGTTCACTGGGGCCCTGGTTAATTTTCTTTGGCATTTTGTGGCATTGATTATGCAGTCGCGGTCGCGTGGAATTCCACGTGGAGTTAGTTGCCTGAAGCCCCTTTTTAGTTGCTTGAAGCCCCTTTTTAAACTTAAGCAGGTGAAAGTTTGGTGAATTGCTGCCAAGGAGTGTGGTGGAGTCTCCTTATTTGGAGGTCTTTAAGCAGAGGCTTGACAACCATATGTCAGGAGTGCTCTGATGGTGTTTCCTGCTTGGCAGGGGGTTGGACTCGATGGCCCTTGTGGTCTCTTCCACATATGTATGTGAGCAGGTCTTCTCCAACATGAACTATATTAAAAACAAGCACCGATCACGCCTCACAGATGACAGCTTGCAAGCCTGTGTGAAAATGAAGGTGACGTCTTACAGCCCTGATGTGCAGACACTGAGCACTGAGGTTCAGGAGCAAAAGTCCCATTAACCTGGTTACCTGGTTGTAAATTAAATATTTTAATTAGCTATTAATTTGTCCTTTTTTCTTGAGATTGACAGCTGACTGCACGATCCTGTATATATAGCATTAAGGCCAGAAACAATATATGTAGTGTTATATTTGTTTTAAATGTTGCAATGTTTTTGCGGCTCCCAGTTGTTGTTGTTTTTTCGGAAACGGGTCCAAGTGGCTCTTTTTGTCTTAAAGGTTGCAGACCCCTGCCCTAGCATCTTCTGATCCCTACGTCCCTTCCCCCTGGAGGCGGGGCTTCCCTCCTCGCCAGAGGAAGAACTGCTTCGCAAGATCTTTGGAGGCTCCCTGTAACACATCTGCCCTTCCACCTCTCGCCTCTGAGCTGATGGCAGTTCCCTGATAGAAGCCTTATGCAAACTCGCAACATATGAACAACTTTTATATAAACGCAGACTTGCCATGGACAAATTCAATAATATTTGGAATCCATTCTTACAAATACTGTAATAAGTTAAGATCTGGTGAAATACAATAACAACCTTGTAAAGTATACAAGGTTCCCCCCCTTCCCTCTTTATTTTCCCTTCTACACGGGTCTTGTTTCTCTTTTTCTTTTATTTACGTCTCACCATGTTTAGTGCACATATAATTAAGTACTTTTTGAACTTTCAATAAAGATGTTAAAAAAGAGAAAAAAAACCTTTTTGTGAACTATATGATAGAAGCGGTAAAAGACAAAATTTATTACTAGGAAGCTGTGTTTCATCTAGAACGCAAGCATTCTACAGAAGCAGATTTTAACATCATAGAATAAATGGATTCCAAACTCACCGGCCATTGTCACGGCCTACACCCCAGACTCGGATGCTTACGATGGGCTGTGAATGAAGAATACTGCGATCCATGGGGTCAACCAAATTTAGCATGTCGTTCTCCAGGATAAGATACATGTCCTTTCCCTAATCAAGAGAAGAGCAAAAACAGCTATAATCTCTTACTCACTCAAACAAGCGTTTGCCCCTATGTAGTGCTAATTCAGGTGGCTTTGCCCCACCATGCAAGATGCTACTAGGAAAGGCATTTGCTGGATGCTTAAGCCTTCCTCCACCCACTTAAGTCTCTTCCACCCTTCCATATAATATGAGAACGGAGGGCTAAAGGAAGCACCATCTCATGCAATGCATACTTAATTTATACAGTGGTGCCTCGCAAGACGAAATTAATTCGTTCCGCAAGTCTCTTCGTCTTGCGAGTTTTTCGTCTTGCGATGCACGGTTTCCCATAGGAATGCATTGAAAATCAATTAATGCGTTCCTATGGAAACCGCCTTCAGACCAGGTCCGGGGACAGTCTGTCCCCCGACCTCTTCTGAAGGCTGGGGGGGGAACAAGGGCTTTTCTTCCCACCCCCAGCATTTTAAAAAACCCCGGGACAGCGGAGGACTTCTCCGCTGTCCGGGGCGATTTAAAAGCCCCTGGGAAGGCAGGCAGGGGGGACAAAGACTTTTGCCCCCCCTCCAGCCTTCAGAAGAGGTCCAGGACCTCTTCTGAAGGCGGGCGGGGGGCGAAAGTCTTTGCTCCCCCCCGCCTGCCTTCAAAAGCCTTCCGGGACAGCGGAGAAACGCGCTGCGTTTCTCCTCTCTCCCAGGAAGGCAGGCAGGGTTTTCCGTCTTGCGGGTTTTCCGTCTTTCGTCTAGCGGGTTTTCCGTCTTGCGAGGCACCACTGTAAATTATTATCATGGATGCTAATGTGGGTGGCTTTAAAAAGAGTTAGGCAAAATCATTGGGGGGGGGATTGGCAGTTGCCGTGATAGCTGTGGAGCCTCCAAGTTCAGAAGCAATTTATATCTGGATAACATGCTTGAAATGAGCAGCAAGGGTGAACTTACACCCTTGGACAACAAGGGATGCTTGTAATTCTTATGTTTTTATAAAGGGGAAAGCACCCATATTACCTTTTCAACTCAAGAGACCACAGGTACTGAGCCCCCTTGTAACCATACTGGCCTCTGATTATAGGGGGACATGACCAAAGAGCCCCTTCCTGGCACTTAAGTTGTGCTGCACTTTGGGCAAGGCAAGAGCCATTGCTGACACCTTCTTTCTCCTTGCCAGAGCAAACAAGGCCACTGTTCCAAACTAGCTGTTTTACTTCCTTGTTCTTTCTCGGCAGTGGCTGCTTTTGCCAAAACATGAAAGTGCAGGAAAAAGCAGGTGCCACTGATAAAATACCAGAATCATTAGAATGGGGAATCAAATTTCTTGAATTCGCGGAGATGGCAAAATTAACAGCATCAATTAGAGGCTACTCTAATCAAAAAATTAATAAAGAGTGGGAATGCGTTAAGGAATACATGAAAAAAGTCGCTGCTGGAGCTTAAAAATCAATATGCAAAAGTTTAAAAAGCACAAGGAGATAGGATAATAATATATTAAGGATGGAATAACAAATAAAGTGAATAACGCAACAATAACAAAAATTATAGTAGGTAAAGAAGACTGCACACAGGTGGAGGGAAGTATTGGGCTGTGGGGAAGGGAGGGGAAGGGATTAATTGAAACTGTTAAAGATTGGTATAGGATTCAAGAGATTTAAATTTTCATAAAGATTCTGTAAGGAAAGCAGAAAGAAATATCAAGTAAAGGTATTGGAGAGGAGATCAGTGTAAATGAAAACATGAGACTTATGGTTTTGTTACATATGATTGTATTTTGGAGTTGTCTGTTTATTTTGGAGTTGTTTGTTGTATATTACGTGAATTATTTTGTATATTATGTTGTATATTATGTGAATAAAATAATAAAGAATGCAATTTAAAAAAAAGAAAAAGCAGGTGCCACTAGAGAACTGGGAAGTATGATAAGACAGAGAGATTTCTTACCTCTCCCCAAATGCCAACCGTGTCCCGTATATCGTTTTTACAATAAGAGAGCTGTCGGATGCAATTGTTCACAGCAACGCTGCTTTTCCCAGGAGCCAAATCTTCCTCTGCCATTTCTACCCATCCCAAAGAACGAACTGCAAAGCACTGTAAAGGAATAATGAAAAGGAGTGTTAACCTTTTAGGTCTTAATGGCCTCTGCACGATTGTGACATATTTTATTTTATGTAAACCCACATTTATGTTGAGGACAGCCGGTCAAGCCTTTATACTGTTGTCATCTTTTGCTCAACAAGGCAAGTTGAGAGTAGAATCATAGAATTGCAGAATTGGAAGGTACCCTAAGGGTCTTCTAGTCCAACCCCCCTTGCAATGCAGGAATTTCAACAAATGGCCCACCATCAATTTGAAGCCATTCTGGACTCTGCTTAGCTTTGCAAATGTGCTAGCAGTTTTATTGCTGAACCACTAGAACAAAAAATATAAATTTCGAGCCATTTGGCCCCCAAATGACAACTACCGTATTTTTCGCTCCATAAGACGCACCTGACCATAAGACACACCTAGTTTTTGGAAGGGGAATGCAAGAAAAAAAATATTTTTAAAGGGAGCGCTGAGCAGAGCCTGTATGCATCCCAGGCTCTGCTCAGTGCTGCCTTTCACATGCCATGTGGAGCGTGTGTGGCGCTTGCAGGCTTTTCCCCAGGAGGGAGAAGGGTGCACGGCTCCTGCAGGCTTTTCTACAAGGTGGGGGAATTCCCCCACCTCCCGCAAAAGCCCGCAAGAGCCGCACGGAGCGTGTGTGTGGCTCTTGGGGGCTTTCCCCACCTGCCTCCCACCTGCATTCGCTCCATAAGACGAACACATGTTCCCTTACTTTTTAGGAGGGAAAAAGTGCGTCTTATGGAACGAAAAATACGGCAAGCATTCCGTTTTGGCAGCTGTAACCCTTGTTTCAGGAGCCATTTGGTGCCAAGCTTATATACCAGAGTTTCTAACTTTGCTGGGAAATCAGTGTCAGGACTGCAAAAAGCCCTACCCACCTTAGATAGCAAAGACAATCTGGGATTGGGAGCAGTGTTCGGAACTCTCATTGTTCCAGGCATATTTTGCAAGAGGGAATTTCATTAGAGTGAGCAGTTTCTGAGTTCTGGGCACAGTACTGCACTGAAGATTTCAGATTAAAACTGCAGAGTGGAAGGAAAGGAGGACCTTTTTCTGCCTCCCCACTTCCAGCTACTCTCTGGAGAATGGAGAAGAGACTCTCTTAAGAATATTAAGAGGATGGGCGGGGGAAGGACTAGATCATGTGAAAAATGAACATAATATTTTAGCTGTTCATTCATTTTCAGCTTTGTATTCTTGTTATAAAAAACACGCCCAGACATTCTGTTGTTGCGCCCATAACCTAGGTTTAAGGTGATATTTAGCTCCTAGCTTTCATATCTCAGTTCCTAACACTGATTGGGAGAGACCTCACATCCGTGTTTTAAAGAAACATATGAGCAGTACATTCAGGGAGAGAGACCCAAAGGTGGGAAAACCATCTTTTCCACTGCCTTGCCAAGCTCACCCTGGCAGAATAGAAGAGGTGTTTTTCTATCCTAAGGCTAAGAATATTTTGAATCCATGCCTCTCCTCCTCTGCCCTACCCACCTTTTGCTTTTACCAAAGAACTCTGAGAGGGTGATCTAAAATAATCCTATGGCCCTGAGACACCCACCCAGGGACCACAGGACTGCAAACCTTGCTTTCCATATGAAAACTTAACATTTTATAATACACTTTACAAGGACGGCCGGACAAAGAAATACAAATTGCAAATGAAATTGCGTTTGAGAGAACCGGACTTATATGAGACACCTGTCACAATCTTTTACAACACGACAGTTGATTATAAATGATAAAAACGGAAGGAAGCCGAACTAATGCAGTCGCTGCAGCTTGGGAAAACTGAAGACATATGGCTCCTTTGGCAAGTGAGAGAAAAATGCTAGAGTATATTATTAGTAACTACGGCTTACTATAAAGAGTCTTGTGGCAGGTAGGCAACTAACAAATTTACATCATAAGCTTTTGTGGACTAATAAATAAATCACTTGGTCTTTAAGGACTCTTAATAGTCTGTTACAGCAAAAACAGAAAAATCATATGTGGTTTATGACAAAACTGGTTATTTCTTCAAACTGTAAAATTCCAAGAAATTATATAGGTAGTGGTGGAGCAAAGACTGAGAGAACAAAGGAAAATATGGATAATTTAAAAAAGTATTTCAAAGAAATCAAAACCCTTTCAACCCACTCTTATTGTTATGTACTGAAGTTCTCACCCTGGGCCAGCAGGGGGATACTGTATAGTTTTCACTCAGGTCCACGTCAGTTATTTTAGGCGGGAAACCCTGGGTTGTTGTTGCTACAATGTTGATAGCTGGCTGCCTATAAAAGCAGGCCGGCTGAGCTGTTTGCTGTTCAGTTTTCTGTTCCAGCTTACAAAATAAAGAGCTGCTTTGGAGAAATCGCTGTGTCGTCTGCCATGTCTACCCACTATTCAACACTTATTTTCTTGCCCCTACTGCCTAGGGGCAAATGGGGATTGTCAACCTGGGAAAGTAGCCCATGTAGGAGAAGGAAAACTCTGATCCTAAACCTCTGCTGCCTTGTGGGACATCTTTGGGAGAGGAAGAGGCTAAGGAGTAAACCCTACACAAATCCGGAGTGGCGTCCCTAAGGCCTTGTACACCTCCTTCCGGCAACTCCTGCAGCTAAACTGGTGTCAAACATATTGCTCTGCTTTCCTTTGGACCACACCAGCGAGGCCAAGAGCGGAGTCTTGTCATCTGGGCAGCCCAGGACTTCCATGCCCACTGCCTAGGCCCCGGGGAGTTCACTTTGGTGGTGCTAACGCAGCAAAAACAACACAAGAGACTGGTTACAAGTTACCGGTCTCTGCAGCCACAGCAGGCGCCACGATTCTCCAGCGGTTTAACTTCATTCCTGGTGGTGCACTCCATTCTCTCTCTCTCTCTCTCTCTCTCCCGGAGGAGGAGTTTGGATTTGATATCCCGCCTTATCACTACCCTAAGGAGTCTCAAAGCGGCTAACACTCTCCTTTTCCTTCCTCCCCCACAACAAACACTCTGTGAGGTGAGTGGGGCTGAGAGACTTCAGAGAAGTGTGACTAGCCCAAGGTCACCCAGCAGCTGCATGTGGAGGAGCGGAGATGCGAACCCAGTTCCCCAGATTACGAGTCCACCGCTCTTAACCACTACACCACACTGACAGGTGGTTATAACTCCTTCCTTACCTTCTCTCAAATACATTTTAAAAACCCATCAAGGTGCGGAGAGAGTAGCTGCTTCCATTAAGCAGCATTCAACTGGATTGAAGTTGTCTTTTGGAAGCTTTAAACCAGTGGTTCCCAACCTTTTTTTGGCCACGCCCCACCTAAGCATCTCTAAAATTCTGATGTCCCCACCCCGTGACATATAATTATTTTTATTCAAAAAGTGAACTCCTATTCACGTGGAGGAAGCCTAAAAGGCCATTCACTGTTAATAACGCATTCTCGAATTTCCCCCCTTAAAAATCAAATTTCCCCCGTGGGGTGTGTGCCCCACGTTGGGAACCATGGCTTTAAACGATAGTATACACATTATTGCTTACAATATGTTTCGTTTGTCTGGCTCTTTGGTGTGAGGAGAAGAGGGCAAAGGTGCCCATATCAGTGTAAACTGTAATGTTCAGATACTCTCGCTGCAATAGAAAACTGGCTCAGTGGCGGAGTAATAAAAATAAATATTTGGAGGACAATGAGCAGATCATCTGACATGCAGAAGCCATTAGGAATAATGCAGAAAGCTTGTTCCTTTAGGCGCCTCCTGCAATCCCATCTGCTAATGGTGCGCTGGAATAAGAAGCATAGGACAGAATATGGAAATAATTTTCCATGTGCTAAAGTTGCCTGACAGCACCGCCTATGATTTCCTTGCAAGCATATGGGTCAATCAGATAACGATGGGAAGCTGAGAATCAGCACAGAGAATGTCATCGGTTGTCACGACAAATATTTGCAGCATTCTGAAGGGTAGTCGGTTTTGTTTTTTACTTCTGGAACCATTATTTTCACAAATTGTTGGTATTAATTTTGGTTACTGTGCTCTGGAGGAAAGACTGGAAATGCAGTTACCTTGTGTTTATTCGTGGAGGGAAGCGTCTGCTATCCCGCCCCCAGCTCCTGACAGGAAGGTGTGTTGGTTGTAGGAATCTTAGTGGTGCTCCACTGCTGCGATATGTTAGCAACAAGGCATGACTGCAGATTTGCCCAGCTGAGATGCCTACACTGTCACTGCCGGTGGCAGCTGCTTCCACACAGCCCTGTGAAGATGTGAATTACGCCCTTAAGAGGTCAATTTTACAGTGGTACCTCAGGTTACATACGCTTCAGGTTACAGACTCCGCTAACCCAGAAATAGCGCTTCAGGTTAAGAACTTTGCTTCAGGATGAGAACAGAAATCGGGCACCTGCGGTGCAGCGGCAGCAGGAGGCCCCATTAGCTAAAGTGGTGCTTCAGGTTAAGAACAGTTTCAGGTTAAGAACGGACCTCCGAAACGAATTAAGTACTTAACCCGAGGTACCACTGTACCAGCAAGATCCACAAAAATAATGTATTTTAAAATGTAAACACTCTGTGCATTGTCAGTATTACCAGAAGCATCCCTAACTATGCATTCAGAAGCCAGTGTGCCGTAATAGTTAAGAGTGTTGGACTAGGACCTGGGAGACACAGGTTCAAATCCCCGTTCGGTCATGAAGCACATTGGGCGACCTTGGGCCAGTCACTCTCTCTCAGCCTAACCTACTCACAGGGTTGCTGTGAGGCTAAATGGGGAACAAAACCATGCACACCACCTTGAGCATCTTGGGAGAGAAGGTGGTATATGAACGTTAATAAATAAATAAAATAACATTAATAAACAGTTCTAAAATACTGGATTCCCCCCCCGCCGCCCCAATTTCCTTGGGCATCATAGGATTGAGCTATTTGGTTCTCATACTTCTACAGAATAATAAATATCTATCCATTTTGCACGACTGTCGTGAATCATGTAAAATACGGAGCATATTCTTAATTCTTCACTACTGCTGCC